TGCTGAACTTGTTTGGAAGTGAAGCCAGGATGGACCTGAAGTGGATATACACCACATTACAGACACTGTGCTGCTGTTTACTTCTAATAAAGTTCAGTAATTTTTGCCAATTCATTCTTGATGAACATTTAATACTTTTCCATACCTCCCCCTGGCATGGTGATGGCACGGCACTTAATAGCTATTTTAGAAGGAAAGTCTGCAGATTCATGTGATATTAGTTTCTCAGTTAAATAAATCATTACAGATACATCAATGAATTTGATTTTTCTATCCAGAATATTCAGAAGTTAGTGTCGCTCAATGCAGTCATTAAATGGGACTTTGAAAAACTGGGCTCTACTCCTGGTTTTGTAGTTCATCCTGGACTTCCGCAAAAGCAATTTCAGCATAGGGACCTTGGAGAAGGAAACGATGAAGCAGAAGTGCAGATAAGAAAGGAGAGAGAAAGGAGAAGAGTTTGTTCTTTCCATTAATATTAAACTGTCCATTTCCCAGCTGCAGGCTCATGCAAAGGAGACTTCTTGGTGATTACCCAGTAATTCAAACCTTACAAACCCACCTCGGAACACACAAAGACAAGGTATAAAAAGGATTTTTTACTGCAGTTTCATGAAACCTGATCCCCAGCAGACCTTGAAGAATTCACTAAGCTTTTGAACACATATGCACACTGCTATCGATTTCTTTTTTTATTTCTTCCTTACCACATGAACAATATATATGAACAATGTCACGTGCGTGCCTGTGTATGAGTTCAGAGAAACAAAACATATATAAGTATAAACTAATGAATAATGCTGTGATTTCCTTCCTTGCTTTTAACACTGCTATTGGCCAGCTGGTATAATTGATTTGATATATGCCAGTGGTTTTAATCATCACTACCCTCTCCTTGGGCCATGCATCCAAAACAGGGTGAAATTTTCTCTCTTTTCAATACATCTATTCTTAACTGAACCCAAAAAATCTCAAGTAGTTCACAAAATGTAGAAGCAGCTGCAATCTTGGTGTTGAAAACAAATGAAATAACACTCAGAGTCCACTGGTACATTTTGTACTCATTGAGAAGAAGAGCAACACCACAGACAATTGTTCTGTTTTCTATGATTCTTGAGATCCAGAGAAACTAGTTCCTCGGAATATCAAGCCCACAAAACAGGCTGGAATTATCTCCATCTTCCAGGGGTTATACACCTCAAAGAAGGTAGAAAAGCTGCACAGAGTGGCTGTAGGTTTGCATGTGGTATAGCACTTAATCCACCAATATGTGCTCAGTAAATATGCGGAGAGAGAGAGAGAGAACCATTTTATTCATCTTCTAAGTGTGAACTTCTAATGTAAAGACCAACTGAGAGAACAGAACATCACACGTGTTTGTTTTATAAAACTATGTAAAGGTTTGCCAAGGCTGTCACGGTATGACAGCTTTAGGCCATTTATTTTCCCAGATCTTCACTTTGAGCATTGCTGCTTGCCTTGGAATCTCTTTTTTTTGAACAGAATTCAATATATGTAAAAATCTTGAGCATTCTGAAGAGGTTATTTGCCCTAATCATGGCTAACTCTTGGCTAAAGTCAAAGTCTTTTTGCTGTTATACTTGTGCAACCTGAGTCCTGCCAGGCCTACAGCCTACGATAGGCAACCTCCTCAGTATAACCTCACAAAATTGCATTTTGACTAATCCTAAACCCAAAAGAAACAAATGTGCTAAATAAGCCTGTTGAAGTCGACAGCAGTCTGCATATGTCAAACCAACTCAGGAATTATCAGCAACTCCATACTGTGTTCAACCTTTTCCTGCAACATATTGCTAAGGGTAGTGACCCTGGAAATAAAAGCAATTTTGATGCTGCTAATGTGATTTCTGGTTGGGGTTTTTGTTTGTTGTTTTTGTTTAGCACAGCACTAACTGCTAAAAGTGGCAGCGAAGGCACTGTAGCAGCAAAGTCCTTTGTCACAAATCCCTCCCTGCACCCACATCATGCAAAGATAGATCTGCCCATGTGGAGCTTCATGTGGGATCGGGGTCCCATTTAGCCTCACATCCAGCTATATCCCCAGTTCTCAAGCTGTTTTTCTTCTGGTCATTGCCACATGCAGCACAAAGAATCACGTTCCTGATGTGACACATCACTGAACCAGCAATGGTGACTTTCAGCTATCCTTCAAATGATTAATAACAGAGACTATGTACTCTTTTTTCTTACTTTTTTTTTTTTCCTCACAGACTGGGTTGTCTGGTAGAACATAGTTTCAGTCAGATGGCTTAAAACAACCAGCTAAACAATGACCTCACATGCCATGTGTGTTTATGTATACGTCAGAAACAATTTTAACCCGATTATTAACTAAACCTCACCAAAAAAAGAGTAGCAATTCCAAATCTAGAAGTAAAAATACGTGATTGGAGAGAAAAAGGAGGCTGTTTCTGAACTTTTCTTCATAAGAGACAACAGCAGTTGTCCTAGTGAGCCCCAAAGACACACACGTGAGCATCCGTGTGTGAGAGCCCCTCCAGTGGAAACAGCATTAGGGAGAGCTGAAACCACATGAAACACCAGAGAAAAAAGTTGTGACAGCTAATGTGGAGGAAACCAGTACACACAAATGTATTTTTTTTTTCACTGTAGGGTTCAGACTGTGTGCCCTTTACAGATAATTTCCCCTATTCTGAACTACATATGTTTGCAAACTGGGAGCCTGAGCACTCACATGTGTGATCAAACCTATCACAGCCAGTGACAGCAATAAAGGTTTATTCTCACCAAGTTTTGTTTCTAAGCTGGTCATATTTGCGTGGCCTCTTCGTGGATGAACTGTGCTGCAAAAGCATCTTTGCTCCTTCTCCAAAGCCAGAAGAAAATTGTGGTTTTTGCTGGAAAGGGACTATTGGGTTATTAGTAAGCCTTTCTTTGAGACCCAGAATCACAGAATATCTGGAAGGGACCCACAAGGATCATCCTTCCCTACCCCTGAGCTATAAGTATTTTCATTTCCTCCTGAGTAGAAAAGAGGGGCAAATAAAGATTTTGTTTGGACCCACACATTCCTCCTACCTTCATTCTGCAGTAACAATTAAGGACTCACCTCATTTACCTGAGTAGTTCTTACTCGTCTGTATGGCACAAGAATGGAATTCTGCAGAGTAAGTCTCATAGTTCGACACTCCACAGGAAGATTAAACATTCTACAGAAGGAAGGAGGATTTTCCAGAAAGGCTTCAAAGCTGCCTCGGTCATGTATCTGTCGAAAAAGACTAAACAAAAGCATCCCTTTTCCATGATATCTTGTCCAAAAAATCTTCCCAGCTACACAACAATAAGTATAGATAACCACAATTAAAACAAGGGAGTACCATTTACTGACTCAATTGCCTGAATAGCCCTTTGTTAGGAGCTGTGTGAAACCTGCCAGTTAGATTAATCAATAATTTTGAAAATCAACGGAATGGGCCGAAATATAAAGTAATTGTATGTATTACTGCACCAGGAAAATCATGATTCTGTAATATAAGTGGCATTATTTAAGTGAGTCTTACACAGCCACACAAGTAATGTTTTACTGCAGATAATCTTTAACGTTAATCCATAACGTAACTAGCTGCAGCAAGACAGAGGGGGAAAAAACCCCACCCAGTTTGTAGCTATCCTGTATCTCAGACAGGGTGATAACATAACATATGCTTTCAAATGATAAAGACTTCCAAGAATAACATGCAGTTTCCAGAAAAATATTCATACACACACAAACAAAAGCAAAATCCTGTAATAATTGAATAATTGCAGCTTTCTGTAACCAAGAAAAAGTTAAAGGGGAAAAAAAAATCCACCCCTAACCAGCCCTTTTCAGTGGCTTAGCTGGTCAACACTTTTATACACAAAGCCTAGTGCTCTTCCCTAAAACCTAAGAATTAATCAGCATTATGTAAGAGATTTTTATAACACTCTAAAAATACATTGTGAATTCCTTTCTAATGTCGGTTTGAGAAGCTTTAAAGTACTGCCACCCCTTATCTCCTTTTTTACCATAGATTGGATCTTCATTTCTGGGTACTGGAAACGTAAATTTTGTCTCAGTACTTGTGCCTCAAATCTCATTAATTACAGTGTTGGCCTCATGAGATACAACTGCTGCTGCTGAGAACAGTGTTTGTGCTCAGAACGACTGGAGCAAGGGTAGGGATACACGGATATTATACGAGTATCCACACTTTGAGAAAGAACTAATGACACATCAAACTTGGTAACACTGTTTGGGTGGGTTTTGTTAATTTACCTGCTTACTAAGCAAACTTTTGCATTCGCATGATGAGATTTTGTTCATATGATACTGGTAGATGATACTCCACGATATAATTCCTCCAAAGGCAATGGTAACATCAGCTGGGCAAACCCACAGCAGTGCCCGGCAAGCACCTTATTACTTTTTGTGCTCTGGTTTTCATATGCATAATAAATAACTGTTAGCACTATTTCTGCATTTTTCCACTGAAGGATCTCTAAGCAAAATTACAAAGTCATCATCTGAATTTTAATGGTAGCTTGGGAAGCAGATTTGTAAAGAGAAGTTTTACCAGCCTTACTGGGAACGGGGCCATCCTAATCCTGTCTCAGCGTCCAGCCCTGCCCTCCTGAAGTTCTTCCTGCTCTGCCCCAGATCACATCTTCATCTGCGAGCACACAAGTAATCTGGGGTCCTTCAGACCAAAATAAATCACAGGAATGCAAATAAATCACATGAAAAACGGGAACAAAGCATTTTTAGCTGTGCTGCATATCGAGAGAACATTAACAGCTCTCTCACCATCACAAACTTCTCCCCTTCCAAGGCTGATAGAACACAGATACAGCCATCTTCTCAAAATACACCCCCCCTCCAAACCACAAATAAATCAACCAAAGCTATTGAGGTAAACAAAACAAGAGATTTCGACGATTGTCCCGCCTGGGAAGGATTTTGCCAGTTATCAGCCTGGTGTGAAAGCCCTGCTAAAACCATGGCTCAGGATGTCAGCATAAAGCATTGAACAGGAGATAATCATCATATCTGATGGGGTGATAATGGTTCTTCCCCAAACGCAAGCAAATATTCAGATGGAAACTCTACTCTGGATTACGATGATCTGTACTAGTGTCATTTACCTCCGTAGTTTGACCAAGGATATCCACACTCACTCTTTTCCTTCCCTCACCAAATCTCCTTTTCTATGTCTTACACACAACCCAAGTCTTTTCTTTGTTTTATGCCCTGATTCTTTCCTTTGCACCATTTTCTGCTGCCCATGTTCACTCGGAATGCCATTAGCCTCATGTCCAACCTAAACTCCACGGCACAACACATGTAAGCATTATTCTGTCTAAATCAGGCCAAAACTCCTCCTTTCGGTTCACGTTTCATTAACTTCTCATATTCTCTTCCTCGTCTTTTCCCACTTTTATCACCCAACTTCCTCGTGCGTTGTGCTTGTGCTTTGCTTCCTCATTTCCTCATCCTTCGTTTCCTCTGTGAGCTTTTCCTACCCTTCCATTCACTCCTTCTCCTCTCTTTTTCTGTTTTCCCTCTTTCTCCTCACACCAGAACCCACTGTTGCCACCTTGTTCCTTGTTCTTCCCCTGGTCTTGTCAGTGTAATTTGGGAGCAGGAGCCTTGATCCCACCAGGGTGGCTGATGTCAGCCTAATTTACTTCTCTCCCTAGACTCACTCCAACCACTCTCTCCCACTGTTAATAAAAAAATATAAAAAAATTAGATATAAGCCTAAGACAACCAACTTTGGCACAAAATGGGATTTGCTGTGGTGTGCTTTAATCTGATGAATTATTGTGGTGGGTTGCAACAGCACAGACGTCCCACACAACCCACACCGTGTAGGGAACTGCTACAAGCACCTCGGATTCTCCAGCCTCTCTTGTTCCTTCACGTTGTCTCTGCTGACATCGCTAGTTTGTTCCAGTCGCTCATCAATACTTCTATTTCTCCCCCTTCCCCCCCAGTTTCACCTCACCAACCATTCCCTTCGCTCTGGCAGCTCAAAATCCAGAGGATTTTTTTTTTTCCCCTTGCAGCTCCGGCAATGATAAACAGATGCTGGTGGTCCACGTCTGGCACAACTTCCCTCCTCCAATCTCGATTGGGGATTTTTGTGGCGCTGGTTGACTGTGACCTTTGCCTGCCCACAGGACGCGGAGATGGGCACATTTACAATCTGACCCGACCTGAGAAAGGGCTTGGCATTAAACACTAAAACATTAAATCACTAAAGGCCCCCCCCAAGAATTACGCACGTGAGTGGGTTTACAAGGTTAGTCGCACTTTAAAC